CCCGACCTCGTCCCCAAGGCCGCCCGCCTCCCGGGAGAGGGCGGGGAGGGGGCCGCTAGCCATGGAGGTGTCTGCACCTGTCGTCCTCGGCCCCTCCCCACCGAGAGCCGACACCCAGGGCACGGGAAGTGCAGGGAGGCGGGGTCCCTGTGAGCTGGGCCGGGGAGGTGGGTCTCACCTGGGGCTGGTGCAGCCTGGAGCCCTGAGCCGGCAGACACGCTGTCCCTGCTGCTAGCAGAGGGCAGCCCTGAGGCCGTGTGGGGGGGACAGTGACTTCCTGCTGTTCCTGTCCTGTTGGGTGGAGTGTGGGCGGAGCCCAGGCCTGGCGTCCAAGAGGCTGAGGCCTGTTGTGGGGGACCTTCCCCCCACAGGTGGCACCTGCATCAGCCCCGGTGCCGGGCAGCAGCCCCTGAAGTTGGGCTGGGAGGCCCCAGGCAGCTTCCCCTTCTCAGCCTTCCCTTCACAGGGAGCGCCTCTCCTGCCGCAGGCGCTGGGGCCTGACGTGGGCGGGACCTGCCCCAGGGCGAGTGCCCAGGCTGCTAGGTCTCCCACCCACTGGCCTCCGTCCCCCCTCCAGGCCTGAGGGGCCCACAGCGGGGAGGGGGGGCTTTGGTGGCAGGAGCCCTGACGGCCTGGCCTCCCAGCCCCAGGCTGACGGTGATCGTGGTGAAGAAGCGCGTGAATGCCCGGTTCTTTGCTCAGTCGGGGGGCCGCCTGCAGAACCCGCTCCCGGGCACCGTCATCGATGTGGAGGTCACCCGCCCCGAGTGGTGAGTCCCGCCCGCCGGCCCCGGGCTCTGAGCAGAGGAGTCCGCGTCCCAGCCCTGGCCGCACACAGAGGCGCTGAGCTCCTCGCCGTCCTGTCTGCATGGAACCCCGTCCCCCAAGTCCTGCTCCCGCCTCCAGGGGCTCCAGGGTCAGGCTCACCTGGGTCACAGCTGCCGCTGAGAAGGTGGCTTCTGTGCAAGCACAGCCCTCCCTGCCCCGGGGCTGCCCCACTCGGGACACGCACGGCACACGTGACGCACACGTGACGCACACGGTGCAGCCGGACGCCGCGAGCGTGGGCCTGCGTAACCCGTGGGAATGAAGTCAGGGCGGCTCTGTCTTCCTGCGGAAACGCCGGGGAACTTCTTTTAAAAAGGCTCCTTCCCAGGATGCAGAGGGCCTGGGCGCAGCGTGGGGAGCACTTTCCCGTCTGACCCTCAGCACTGGGCTGGGCGGAGCTCAGGGCTCCAGCCGTGGGGAGTCACGTGAGCAGGTCTCACGCGGCCCTGCTGCCCTCGGGGGCGCCCAGCCCAGCGCTGACCCGAGGGCACCCGCTCCCCCGGTGGACGGTGGACGGCACGCCGAGGCAGAGGCGGCGCTGCAGGGCCTGAGGCTCGGGTCCGCTCTGGGCCGGGTGCTCTGGTCTCGGGCGAGTCACCCCCACAGCCCGCTCTCCCAGGGCCCTGACCGGGCAGCTCGGCCCGCAGCACACGCTCCTCCAGCGTCAGTGGTGGTGGCTGCGGGCCCACCTGCAGCAGGAAAGCGCGAGAGCGTCTTCCTAGTGCTGCCCCGCGGGCTCCCGTGTGGCCACCTCGCGCCCCAGTGCCTCTCGCTCGCTCCCTCGTGAAGACGCCCCAAATCCTACGGTGGGGGGGGGGGTGGCGGGTATGGGAGGAGCGTCTCAGCTGAGTGCAGTGGGGCAGCGGGGCAGGTTCTATGGGGAGCACCCGGGGGACAGCTAACGCTGGGCCTCCCCCAGGCCCCAGCGCCCTGGTGTGGGCGGGAGGTGTGGGCCGTGGTTTGCCCAGCGAATGGTGGGCCCAGGGCCCACAGGACCCCCAGGACCCCGCCCTCCACACGAGCCCAGCAGCACTGGAGCCTCCGTCCCACGGGGCCGGGCCGGGGGGGTCACCACGGTGGCCAGACGCGGGAGCTCCGTGCCTGGGGAGCCGGTTCCAGGAGGCCCGGGCGTGGTTGCAGGTACGACTTCTTCATCGTGAGCCAGGCCGTGCGCAGCGGCAGCGTGTCCCCCACCCACTACAACGTCATCTACGACAGCAGCGGCCTGAAGCCCGACCACATCCAGCGGCTGACGTACAAGCTGTGCCACATCTACTACAACTGGCCCGTGAGTGTCCGCGTGGGGGGGGCTCCCCGGGCGGGGCCCCAGCCTGACGCTGTGCTCCCCGCAGGGCGTCATCCGCGTGCCCGCGCCCTGCCAGTACGCCCACAAGCTGGCCTTCCTCGTGGGCCAGAGCATCCACCGCGAGCCCAACCTGTCGCTGTCCAACCGCCTGTACTACCTGTAGCCGAGCGGCTCTCCCAGCGCCAGCGAGGGCTCCGCCTCACCCGTCAGCCTCTCGTCCTGGTGGGACTTGGGAGGGGCCGGGGCCTCCAGGGTCCTTATTCCGACATCACTACCAACCGAGATATTTCATAGGTAAAAATTAGTGTTTTTTAGTTCTCACCCAAGGACACGTTTTTATTGATTTTTTCTTCTAGAGAGAAGGGGGCGGGGGGAGAGAGAGAGACATCAATTGGTTGCCTCCTGCACACGCCCCTACCAGGGATCGAACCCGCAACTTTTTGGTGCACAGGACAAGGGGACAAGGCTCAGCCGCTGAGCCACCGGCAGGGCTGAGGTTCTAGATGTAAGTTGTTTGCCTCTCAAATGCATTGGGAGGGTTTCTGTTTGTTTTGAGAGAAATGTGGTTACAGTACTTTGTGTTATAAACAGACTCTTAAACCATTGGAAGTGCTTTCATGAGTGAGGAAGCCGTACTTGACCTTGGGTGGACCTTGTATCTGAAATGTTGGGAAGGGACGGAGGGGAGGCGTGAGGCGGGCAGCAAGTGCCAGCAGCAGCCCCAGCCAGGCCCAGGCAGGGGAGGTTGCTTTCCCACGGGGGCTGTGTGCTGTGGGTTCAAAAAAGAGAGGGGAGCCCTGGACAGTGTTGCTCAGTGGATAGAGCGTCGGCCTGCAGACTGAAGGGTCAGGGTTCAATTCCCAGTCAGGGCACAGGCCCAGGTTGCGGGCTCGATCCCCAGTGTAGGGCGTGCAGGAGGCAGCCGACCCATGATTCTCTCTCATCACTGATGCTTTTTTTTTCTCCCTCCCTCCCTCTCTCTTCCTTTCTGAAATCAGTAAACGTACAAAACAAAAAAAAATTTAAAAACTTTTTAAAAGTTACAAAAAAAGATAGTTGAAACGTTTTCAGTTTCTGTCCGGAGAAGCATTTGCGGTCCTTCGCCAGAGAGGCCGTAGCCCATGTCCATGTCGCTGTGTGTTTTGCTTTGCAGCCAGCATCGTTCTGTCTGTTATAAATTAAAGTGCCGTCACCTGGTCTGCGGGTCCGTGTCGTCTGTTCTCACTGAGGCCACAGCACTGGGTGTGCTGTTCAAACTGCTGGAGGGTCCACTCGGGGCCCCACACGGAGGCCACGCTTTCGGTTTAAGTCGACTTGACTGAGGGCTGATTCACGTGAGGGGTGATGCGAGGCGTGTGGACATGCACACGCTCCCGTCTCACACCAGGAAGACGCGGGTCCTGTTACAGCCCCTGGGCAACGCTGTCGTCTCCAGCACACGGTCGTGCACACGTCATTAAATTATCCCTGAGTCGCCTGTTTTTGATGGTAAATCACACATTTTTATTTTTTTTAAAAATAGATTTCGGAGAGAAAGGGAGAGGTGAGAGAGAATCATTGATTGGCTTCCTGCACACCCCCTACTGGGGATCGAGCCCGCAACCGGGGCACGTGCCCTTGACCAGAATCGAACCTGGGACCCTTTGGTCCTCGGGCCGACGCGCTCTCCACTGAGCAACACTGGCCAGGGCCCCACACACTTTTATTGGGTCACGTGTGCACTCCGACTGCTGGCTGGTCGGAGACGCAGATGTTGTCTCCCGCGTTTGCCGAGTGGTTCCCCAGCGGGTGGGCCCTGAGCGTGGCCTGTGCGCGGGACACGTCGGAGCTCTTTTGGGAAACAAATTCCAGGAAAGGGAGGGGAGTGCGCCCCGTGCACACAGCCCCGGTGCTGCTGCGGCCCCGCCCCAAAGCACACAGGAGGCGGGAGGCAGGCATCGTGGAAAATGACAGTTTATTCTAGAAAAGACCCGACACCGACCGCACACGCACACCCACACGCCGCTCCCGACCGCTCGCACACGCAGCCCGTGACCACGGAACATGCTCACAACCTCCCACAGGTTACAAAAGAAAGGCAGTCTGCACGCGTGTATAAAGAGTAAAAACGGTTACAAGTGGACGAGGGTACAAGGAGCAGCCAGTGGAGGCACGGCCGGCAACGGGCCAGTCTGTGCTCAATGCCGAGGGCGGGCTGTGTGGGTCACGTGGAGCAGACTGACCTGGGCTGGGCCGTGGCCTGTGCGCGCCGTGGCCTGTGTGTGGCCGTGGCCGCGTGTGTGCTGCTGTGTCTGTCTGGCACGAGAGGGACAGACCCACCGAGTGACACTGAGGGTGCCGGGCCTGCTCTGAGGTGTGCGTGAGGACACGTGTGGTGTGGTGTGGTGTGGCCTGGGCGTGGCCGCAAGCCTGCCCGTGTGGGGAGAGCACGAGGCGCACACACAGGAGCACAGCGAGTTTATTGGACGGTACAAACCATTGTGCAGAGTAAGGCAGAACATGGAGGCGCTCGGGGCTCAGACCAGAGTGAAGGGGGGGTGAGCGTGGGGGGTGGGGCGGGGACAAGTGCACAGAGACCGTCCGGAGGGCGAGCAGCCGGGCCTGGCCCTGTACCGGGCCTCCCGTCAGACCGGGGGCCGCGACCGAGCCTGAGGCCCAGGAGGCCGGCGCTGTCCTCCCAGGTGCTGGGGGGGTCGTGGGGGGCAGAGAGGTCCCCGCTGTATGGGGGGTTAGGGCGAGCGCGAGTCACGGGAGCCCCGGCTGGGAATGAAACCGCGTCGGAGGTGGTCCCAGGTCACTTGACGGCTCCCAGCTTCTGCAGCAGCCTCTTGCCTTTGAAGAGCAGCCCCTTTTTCTTCCTCGAGGACACGCCCCGGCCTCTCCCGGGACCACCTGTACCCACAGACGGCGCAGGAGACCCCGCGTGGAGACGGGCTGTGGGGGACGGCGCTCTCCTGGCCGGGCCTGCCCCCTCGGGAGGCACCTGGGAGGTACAGTGTGACAGTTTACTGGGCACGTCAGCGCCAGCCCCGCCAGCCCGCCACACACAGCCCGGCCGGCCGGCCGCCCGCCCGCCCGCGAAGGAAGGAGGGACGGTGGGTGTTTTCTTCAAGTAGGGGCGCCAGGAGCAGCCTGCCCAGCGCCTCGGGGACACGGGCGGGGTGCCCCTCACGCGGGCAGGACGGGGCTGGGGATCACTTCCTGGTACATTAAGACCCAATCGAGGGGTGGGGGCTGTTGTAAGTTACGTCGACGTAACCCTGGTGAGTGCCCATCTCACAGCGGATGCACTCAGCGAGAGTCTTGTCTTTGAAAGCGACGGCCCCTGGTCGGCCGAGCGCCCGGGTTAGGAAGGTTGGGGATGGCACACCGGTTGAAAGAAAAACAAAACTAAAATGAACCTTAATTGCAATCAAAGAAAGCTGCCAGGCCTCCGTGGGCAAGGCCTCCGTGGGCGCTGCGCGGCCTGCACGGCTCTGGGGTCTCGGTGGGATCTTGTCCGTCGTGAGCACACGGTCAAGTGCTGAGCTCACGGGCACTGTGGCCCCGCCTGACGGGACCTGGACCATCCCCCAATCCTGACCTCTGACCTCTGACCTCCTGGGAGCGTGCAGGATTCAGCAGCCACGGCCAGCCACGGGGCTTCAGCTTGCTTGGATTTAGAATCAAGGTCTAACTCTAATGGAAACCTTGGCAAGCACCCACGGTCACTGAAGATACCGCAGCCCCTCTGGGCCGTCCATCTCGGAGCCGCGTGTCTCGGAAGCGGGTATTGCATTGGCAGGCCACCGGCGCCTCCCCCTGCGTCGGCGCTTCGAGGACCAGCCTGGCCCGCACCAGATGGAGGCGGGGACTGGAGGAGACGCCGTGCGGGCAGTGGGACGCGACCCCGGGCCGGCCTGCCCACTGCCCGGCTACCTGAGCTCCAGCCGCACTTTTACAAGGAAATCTGCCGGGCCCTGGCCGGTGTGGCTCAGTGGATAGAGCGCCAGCCTGGGGACTGGAGTCCCGGGTTCGCTTCCCAGGCAGGGCACAGGCCTGGGTTGTGGGCTCGATCCCCAGTCGGGGGCGTGCAGGAGGCAGCCGAGCCATGATTCTCATCATTGATGTTTCTCTCCCTTTTCCCTTCCTCTCTGAAGTCAATAAAAATATATATTTTTAAAAATTTATATAAGGAATCTGCCGTAAACACGTTGGCGAGGTTGTGCTTTTCCGAGAGTGGCTGACAATGCAACACGCAGCCGCGGGGGAGAAACGGGCTCGCGGGAAACATGCCCCCTGCTGGCCTCCGCGGGAACCGCGGGGGATGGTCGCCCGGCTCAGCCCGCCACGCCTTCAGCTGCTTTACAACCGAGGCCAGTGGCCCTTAGGGGACATATTTCTTTCCCGGCCCCGTGACCCCGGCGTCCACCGCGGAGCCCGCTGGGCAGCTCGGGGCGTCTAGGTATCTTCAGCTGCTCACTTACGTGAAGGCTACTGTGCCTGATTAAGGTGTGAAATGAACACTCTTCTTCTGTTCCCAAGCAGATGAGCGAAGGAATAAGAATATATGATATAAAAACAGAACGAGAACCCGCAGCGATGACGCAAAACAAAATGAGGCGACACGTGAATGTCCTCCGTCCCTCCAGGGGCCGCGGGGCGTCCGCTCTCTGGGGAGGACTGCGACCCTGAGCCTCAGGCCGGGCCAGCCCCGCGCCCTCGCCCTCTCCACAGCCGGGTGTGCGTCTGTCACCCGGGGGGTCCCCTTGTGAGCAGAGGCAGCCGGTTGGAATGGAAAATGTCCCTTTTGGTGAAATATACGTCAGGGTCAGAGGTCAGCAGGCTCGGGACGCCCCTGTGGGCGGGGAGGGCGAGGACACGCTCAGGGCGTGTGCTTCCGGCCCTCGAGGCGGAGACCACACGGGAGAGCGCGGGTGGCGGGGCAGGGGCGCCGGACACGCCGGGGGCTGCTTACCCGTTTGGCCTTGGAGCGCACGGGCGTGTCCTGTGGGCGGTGGGACGGGGTGTCCGAGAGGTAGACCTCCACGTCGTCAGGCACTTCTTCCAGGAAGTTGGACGGCACCAGGCCTTTCTGCCCATTGAGCTCCCCCTGGGACAGGCGAGGGAGACCCCTTACTCCCCTCTCTCACTCCCCCCTCCCCCCACCAAAGGAGCTGCTGCCCCTGGACCAGCCGACGAGGCTCAGTGGTTGGGCGGTCAGGGTTCATCCCCGGTCGGGGCACAGGCCCGGGTTGCAGGCTTGATCCCCAGTAGGGGGCGTGCAGGAGGCAGCCGATCCATGATTCACTCTCATCACTGATGTTTCTCTCTCTCTCTCTCTCTCACTTCCTCTCTCTAAACTATACATATATATATACATTAAAATAAATAAATAAAGGAGCAGCCTTAGGGCAGGGAGGGCCTCCTCCTGGTCGGGGGCGGCCGCTGTGGGAACCGGCCGGGGCCCAGCCCGTCCACCCCTGGTTCCCTCCCCAGGGAGCCAGCGGACAGCACAGGCCGACGCGCCCGCCAACCGTGCGCCTCGCGGCTTCACTCACATAGTAGAACCCGTCCTCGTCGATGTCCCCGAGGACGGAGATGATGTCCCCGGTGCAGAAGGTGAGCTCGGCCTGCGGGGGGGTGGGGGGAGGGGGCGCGGTGAGCGGGGGTCCCGCACAAAGTCATTTTCTCAAAGAACCTCTTCGCGATTTCTTTCATTGTCTGGTTTTCCTACGGTCTGGGTACTAACCTACTCCTTCAGACCAAGGAGGAAGAAAGATAGAGAGCCGACAAGGGCCTCTGTGCTCGGCCTCTGAGAAAGAGCGACCACGGCAACGCAGGCCACCCCCAGGGAAGCACTGGGCTCCCAGATTCCGGCCAGAATTCAGCGCCCGTCCACGGCCTCTCACCCGCCAGGTCCTTAACGTTAGCACCTGGGCGTCGGGGCACTGCTCCCCGCAGCCCGCAGCACCTGGGCCTTTACCTAAATGCTCTCCCGCTGCGTCTGAGAGACTGTGCTCAATTATTAATGAAACGTCTATTTCCCCGAGCTCGGCGACGGGGTGGGCGGGGGGAGGGGGTACTGGGGTGGGCGGAGGCTCCAGGCTGGGAACAGGCCAACCAGCCTGGGGGATGGAGGTGCCAGAAAATGCACTTTTCTTTCTAAATGCCTGGCCGGCATGGCTCAGTGGTGAGCGCCAACCTATGAGCCAGGAGGTCACAGTTCAATTCCCGGTCAGGGCACAGGCTCAGGCTGCAGGCTCGAGCCCCAGTAGGAGATGTGCAGGAGGCAGCCGATCAATGATTCTCTCGTCACTGATGTTTCTCTCTCTCTTCCTCTCCCTTCGTCTCTGAAATCAATAAAAATATATTTAAACAAACAAACAAACATGAAAATGGAACGAGGCCGCCAGGCATCGTCAGTCAAACCTGCTCAGGGCTCTGTGCACGGGGCCCTCACTCTGGCCTCTCGTCAGAAGTAACGGCCGTGCAGGCCCTGGGCACAGAGCTCCAGCCGCTCCCGCCGTGGACTTGGGGCCTACCCACCTCGCCCGTCCTCCGCCCTCTCCTCGGGTGACACTACTGGGCACCCCCACCGGGTGGCTGCTGCGCCCTGAGCTGCAGGGAGGGGCCCGCCCGGCCTGCTGTCGGCCATTCACTGCTCTGGGGGCCGCCCCTGGAGGGACGCCCGGCGGGAAGGGCGGGGAGGGCAGCGGGCACCTCGACATCGATGTTGGGCGAGCTCTCTCTGGGGTCGTAGTCGTACAGGGCCACCATCCTGCGCGTGGACACCGCCTGCTGCCGGCCGCCTCGCCTGCTCCTCTCTGCTGACCGGGAGAAGGAAGCCATCAGACACTGCCCAAGAGCGGGCTGTCCTGGTCACCACGGTAACGGCCGGACGCCGCCCCCACCAGGCCCAGGCTCACAGCCCCGGACGCCGCGGCCGTGGGCCAGCTGCCGGCTTCCTAGGTTTGGTTTTAAATTAGAACAAGCGAGCACCTTTGTAAAACCTGGGGCTGTTTCCTCAAAACCAAACACATGCAGCCCAGGCAGCACGGCTCAGGGCTTGAGCTTCGACCTCAGAACCAGGAGGTCAGGGTTCGATTCCCGGTCAGGGCCCAGGCCCGGGGTACGGGCTGGATCCCCAGCGGGGGGCGTGCGGGAGGCAGCCGGTCCGTGACTCTCATCATGGATGTTTCTATGTCTCCCTCTCCCTTCCTCTCTGACATCCATAGAAATATATTTAAAGCACGCGCACACTCACACAGGCGCGCACACGCACATGCACACGTGCACACACATGGTCACGTGCGCACACGCGCACACGTGCCCACACGTGCACGCACACGCACACGCGCGCACACACATGCTCACGTGCACACACACAGGCACACACACGCACTGCACTGCAGAGGGAACGACAGCGCTCCGCGCGGCTGGCGCCGGGAGGCGGACGTGACGCTGCGGAAGGACGGGGTCCCGGGCGGGCAGGCGGGCGGCTCACCCGTCCTCTCCACGGGCGTGCTGAGCGGCAGGAAGCCCTGTCGCAGGAGCTGCTCCATCATCTCCTCGTCCTCGGCCTGGATCTCGGACACCATGTTGCAGGGGATGAGGCCGGACCGGGCGCACGTCTCCCCGCGGTAGAAGCCGTCCGCGTCCTTATCGCCGTAGACCTGGGGCCGCGGGAAGAAGCGAGGCCTTGTGAGTGGCTGGCTCTGAGTTACGTCACCGCTGTCGGCAGGACCTGTCCCCCCACTTTCCCGCCCCTGCCCCCTGCCCACGGGCTTGCTCCGCCCCCTCCGGCCCCGCTCCCTGATGGCCCGGGCGATGGCGGGGGTGACAGTGGGGTGATGGTGGGGGTGACGGTGGGGTGATGGTGGGGTGATGATGGGGGTGGCGGTGGGGACGCGGCCCGGCACCTTGATGATCTGTCCCTCCTTGAAGGGCAGCTCCTCCTCGGCGGCGTCGGGGTTCGGGGACATGCTCAGCGGGTCGTAGTCGAAAAGGGCCACGAAGATGCGCGCCGGGGGCTCCTCGGCACCAGGGTCGGTCTCGGACTCCCCGTAGAAGTCGGGGGACAGCCGGCCCCGGTCGCCGTAGTCATCTGGGGGCGGGCGGCACGGACAGAGCTGTCACCCCCGGACCCGCCCCGCTCCTCCGTCCCTAAAATCGTTTCCGGCCCATGTGGCTCAGGGGCTGAGCGGCGACCTGTGACCCCGGGGGTCAGGGCTGGACTCCGGTCAGGGCACAGCCCGGGGGGCGGGCTCGATCCCCGGCGGGGGGCGCGCAGGAGGCAGCCGATCTCTCATCATTGATGTTTCTCTCTCTCCCTTCCTCTCTGGGATCAATAAAAATATATTATTATTAATTTATTTATTCATTAATTAGCGATCTTTTCAGGGCACCAGGTCAGCCGGGTGTTCAGGGACCTTCCGTCTGGGAGGGAGCAAACCCTGAACAGCGGCCTCATCCGTCTCTTACACGGATTTTGGGGGGTTTGTTTTGTTTTGGGGTTTGTTCACGGTGCGTGACAGGCGCTATTTTCTCTCACTTCCCACGTGATCTAAGCAGCGGTCCCCTCGTCCCGCTGGCCGCTGAGCACGGCTCACTGTTGTCTTCGGAAAATGGAACAGGGTCTTCCCACGTGAGAATCCTTACGAATGGGTCTTGTCTTTCTTGTGCCGGTTCTGCCCTCTCTTTGCCACCACTGAGCGTTCTTTGTGTCTGGATGAAAATTGCTATTCCCGGTCATTTTTAATTTTTGTTATTGTTGTTAAATATATATTTTTATTGACTTCAGAGAGAGGAAGGGAGGGGAGGGAAGCATCCATGATGAGAGAGAATCATGGACGGGCTGCCTCCTGCACGTCCCCCACTGGGGATCGAGCCCCCAACCTGGGCCTGTGGCCGACCGGAACCGAACCGCCAATCAGGTTTTTAGATGTTTAGGCTGAGGGCTAAGCCGCCAGGTGCCCTGTGGTTGGAAGGACAAAGAGCCCACTCACCGATGGCCGGGGCCGCTGGCCGGGGCCGGTGCGGGCCGCCGCCTCCGTGGGGAACCCTCCGGCCCCCGTGCTCGGCCCTGTCCGCCCGTCCCGCAGACGCCGGGTTCCCTAAAATCTGAAGACAGAACAGCAGAGTCGTGAGTCCCGCCGGCCCGGAGACGCGAGAATGGAGTCAGCCAGCCAACCCCGCGTGGAAGCAGAAGCTGTAAAGGCAACTAAACGTAGCTTTTAACTGAAAGGTTAGCTGAATGACCCGGGGCCTAGCCGCTCACCCCGGGCACCCCGACTAGCACAGCGGAGTTGCTTTTCGACACTGGGGGCCGGGGAGGGGGATGGAAAGAATTCCGGGGGGAGGGGACATCTTTGTGTTGCGGGTCCTGCTCCTGCTGCAGAAGCCAGATACATGTGTGTGTTTTAATCTGTCTTCATTGATGTCAGAGAGGAAGGGGGAGAGAGAGAGAGAAACATCCATGATGAGAGAGAGAGTCATGGACCGGCTGCCTCCTGCACGCCCCACACTGGGGATGGAGCCCGCGACCCGGGCCTGTGCCCTGACCGGAATCGAACCCTGACCTCCTGGTTCCTGGGTCGACGCCCAAGCCCTGAGCCAGGCCGGCCGGGCGCCAAGGCGGATGTTTTGCCCCAAGGTGAGAACGCTTCAATACGACTGACTCACTGGACTCAGCGCCCTGCGGCCCCTTCGACCAGGTACAGCCCTGACCGTCAGGGCCGCCTCCAGGGATCGCAAACGGGGCCCAGCCACATGTCCCGCCAGGAGGAAGCTGTCCGTGTGGCTGCGGAAACCTCACGGCACCGCCCTGGCCCTGCTCTGAAGACGGGGTCACCCCGGGGCTGCCCTGCCTGGATATGCGCCCCGGACACACACCCCGGGTTAGCTCTGCGTCGGAGGGTCCGGGCAGAGCCTCCAGCCCCCGGGGAGGTGACCCGAGTGGGGAAGTTCCGGGAGCCAGGGAAGGAGCAGGGATGAGACGGGTTGGCCTGGGCCGGACCCAGGTGGGTCAGTGAAGTCTGGGGCGTGGGGCAGAGCCCCCTGGTGGACAGATCGCCCACTGCACCGGCCCGGAGCCCAGGTCGCCCACTGCACCTGGCTCCCCTGCGCTCTACCTGCATGTTCACTGGCAAGTCGGGCGTGACAGGAGCAAATGCTGGGAAAAGGGACCAACTCGGGGAGGAGTGAAGCTCCCGACAACCACTCACACGCCTGGAGGACAAGGCGGGGCGGGGGGTGGCGTGTCTAGAGCTGATGATGGAAAATTCATTCTGAAAACCGGGTGCAGGGGAAGTAAACACCTTTGGAACCATATGCACCCGTGGGTCTCTCTGTTCTTTTCCCTTTTCCGATGACGGATGAAGGCATAAAACAACCAAACAAAAATCCACAAACCACCCCAAGAAGAAACCCTTCGATCCTATCGGTGGCCACCACCAGTCCCCGTGCTCATTTGGGACAAGCACGTTGTCAAACGCGTGGGGGGCGAGCGTTCAGCTAACCCTTAATTAAAATTTAGATTCAGTTGTCCTTTAACCAAAGCAGCCAGAATCGTCGCTGATTGGGGGGGGGGGGGTGGATCTTATCCGAAAGCAACATAAAGAACCCGTCAGCCGGCCTACGATTGGGAAGCGATGAGCAGGAACTGAAGCCGCGTGGACATTAGGGCATCAGCCGCGTCCGGAGGCACCAACAGAAAGAGGGAGGATGGAGGGTGCGGACGGATCGGTCTGGCAAGCGGGGGGCGGGCTCGCGACACACACCACGGGGCCGTCTGCCAGGCGGGGAGCCGCCTGCGGGTGCTGGGCGGTCGCCCTACTGGGGGGCGTTTTTATGCTTTTCTTCCAGACGTTGGGCCCCGCGGGCTGGTCCCAGCCAGGCTTCCTGGGGGCCGGCCGCTCCGGGCTCAGGCGAGGGTCGTCGCTCCTGACGACGGGGCTGGGGTCCTGCTCCCCAAAGTCCTCCTCGATGCTGGTCTGCCGGGTCAGCGTCCGCCGCCGGGCCAGCAGGGGCCGGAGGGTCCTACAGGGGCAGGGCCCGGGGCCCGGGCTGCCCGTGGCGGCCACGCTCCTGAGGCTCAGCCGCGGGTCCTCTTCTTCGCTCCCACAGTCCAGGCCGCTGTCCGGGCTCCTGGTGGCCCAGCGGCCGCCCCGGCCGCCCCTGTCTTCGGGAAGGGAGTCCTCGGCGTGGGGGCCCCTGGGTTTCGCGGAGACCCGGGAGCCCTGGGGGGCCTGGTGCACCCGGCAGGTCCTGGCGCGCCTGGGCTCCCAGGCCCTGGACGGGCACCCTACGCCCTGTCTGTGCAGGAACTCACAGGGCTCCGCGTCCTCCTCCGCTACTTCGGGGATACTGAACAGCCTCGCACTGTGGGGGGCCTGCGGGGGGCCCTCGGGCGGCTCCGGGAACGCCCCGTCCGAGGTCCTATGCCTAGAGCACTCCTAAGGGGGCATGCGGGACCCACGGTGGGAGCGGACGTGAGGTGGGCGAGGGAGGGAAAGAAAACAGACAGCATTAGTCACGGGGCCACGAGGGAGGGGAGCATGCTGGGGGGGGCATGCTCGGCCGGGCTCTGAAATGAGGGTGCAGTGGGCGGAGGATGGAGCCAGGCGGGAGCAGCAGGGGGCAGGCCATGCACTAAACCAGCGGGGTAGGTGGGGGGCGCACAGAGCCAGGGCACTGCCACGGCCAAGCTGCTGGGTGCTGGGAGCCGTGTGCCCAGATCGCTGGGAGACCTCAGCCCCGCGGCCCGCTGGCTGCGCCCACAGCCTCAGGGCAGCGGCCACTGGACGCCGTGGGACTGAGCCGGTCACAGCAGCCCCTGCCACTCTCGTTCTCTCCCCGGCACTGAGCTGACCTTCTTTCCTGTCCGGCTACAAGTCCGTGTGAAGCCGGGACCTGGCCGGTCAGCGCCGTGGCCTTGCTCCCGCCCCTCAGCGTGTGCAAAGGCCTGGGGGTCTCCAGACGCTCCCCAGGGCCCTGGACCCTTCCAGCCGAAGCAGGCTCCCCTGTGGCTCCCCAGCCCCTGCACCGGCCCCCAACCCTGACTTGGGGTTTCCAGGTCAGACTGAGACAGCCCTGACCCTGAAAATGTGAGGACGCTGCGGACAAACTACAGGGACCTGCAGCTGTCAGCCGGTCCACTTCCTGCCACGTCCTTGGCCCACGTCCTGCCACGTCATTGGCCCAATTCCTGCTACGTCATTGGCCCCGCTTCTTGCCACATTATTGGCCCCGCTCCCTGCCACGTCATTGGCCCGCTTCCTGCCACGTCATTGGCCCGCTCCCTGCTACGTCATTGGCCCAATTCCTGCTACGTCATTGGCCCCGCTTCTTGCCACATTATTGGCCCCGCTCCCTGCCACGTCATTGGCCCGCTTCCTGCCACGTCCTTCGCCCACTTCCTGCTACGTCATTGGCCTGCTCCCTGCCACGTCATTGGCCCGCTCCCTGCCACGTCCTTCGCCCACTTCCTGCCACGTCATTGGCCCACTTCCTGCTACGTCATTGGCCCGCTTCCTGCCACATCCTTCGCCCACTTCCTGCCACGTCCTTGGCCTGCTTCCTGCCAGCTGTGATTTCCACTCAGCTGTTCCCAAGGGTCTGAGGGCTGTGCTTGCAGCCATAGGGTTTTGTAATGACCTTGCTGCCCCTGGGCCTCCTCCCTGGGCGAGAAGGTGGCCCTTCTTTCCTCAGCAGATGGGGTTCCCTCCCAGGAGCTTCCTCCCCGACAAGGAGAAGCACCACGGACGTAGGAACCCGAGGCCGCTTCCCCTGGTCCAGCTGTGAGCATGGGGCGTCCTGGGGAGATGAGGCTGGACCACCCCCCCCCCCGGACCTTCCTCCATCACAGGCTCCTGACTCCTGCTGGACGGGGCCTTTGGGAGCCTGCGGGGCAGGTGCAAGGGGCCAGGCCAGGGGTGGGAGCGGCCACGTGCGGGTCTGCACAGGGACCTGGCGGGGGGGTGGGGGGGACGGCCTTTGCGGAGCATCCGTCAGTCTCTGTGCAGGCGGCCCTGAGCTGGCCGCCGGTGGTGCCACCTTCTGCGCACCATTCTGAGCGCGGGCCCCCGAGTTCCCGGAGGAAGGCCACGCGGGCCCCTTATCCGCCACCGAGTCTCCTCCCCAAAGCCTTTCCGTCCGGAAAATCCACAGGGTCCTGCCCGCTGTCCCGCCTTCTGTCCGTCTCCCCCGGGGGTGGGAAGGGCTAGGAGCAGGGGTCCCCCGTGGCCTTGTCCCCGTGGCCTTGCCCCCGTGGCCTGGCCCAGGGCCTGGCACGCAGAGGGGACCCACCCATGAACCCAGGCTGCCCAGGGGCGTGAATACGAGCTCGAGGCAGAGCAGCCGGCAGCGGGGTGGCCACGCCCCCAACAAGGACAGGGACACGCGTGGCCCGGCTCCTGGGCTTCGTCTCCATGAGGGTGACCTCCCCTCAAACCCGCTGACAGCCACGCCAAGCACGGGGTCCCTGGTGGGGGGTCTGAGGGGGGTCGTGTGTGTGACCCCCTGTCCTCGAGGACAGCCATCCCTCCTGGCCCTCCGCACCCTCCCGCCCCCCCCCCCCCCCGCAGGGCCCAGCGGGTGCCGGGACCTTCCCACAATCCCCCAGCCGGCCCGGTGCTCCCGACCCCCCGTCCTGAGTCAGGGTCCCTGTCCTCGGGCTGCTGGTTCTCTGGGGGTGAGCGCTCAGGGCCGGGGTGGAGGGGGGCCTCCATTGTTCCTCCGCTGCCCCCCAATCCCTGCTGCCGAGCTGGGTGCCCCTGGAGGCTGCCAAAGGGCGGCTCCCAAACCCCCACCCGCCGTGTTGGCCGAGAGTTCAGACCCAGAGGGAGGGCGGGATCCCGGGTGCAAAGTCCATGGCGAGGAAGAAGCCAGTCCCCAAGGGTGGGCTCCCGGGGGCAGCAGGGCCAGGCTGGGGCAGGCGGGGGCCGGCCGCACTGACCTTGAGGGCGCCGTGGGACGTGCCGCTGGGCCGCCGCCGGCCCCCCTCCAGCTGCATCTCCGAGCACAGCTCCTCCTCGTCCTCCTCCATGATGTCGGACAGGTCCGAGCCCCGGCTGCTCTCCGTGTGGTACTCGTCGCCATGGCAGCAGTGCGGCTGGGCAGGAAGGGGTCGGTGAGCAACCTCTCTGGGCCCCAAGCTCCCTCCTCGCCGTCTCGGCTAACGGACGGCGTCGGGCGTGAGGCGTGGCGGCCTCGGTGGCCATGAGCCCGGGAGCTGGGCGGCCAGAAGCTGGCCCGGATGGGCACAGGCACCCAGACCGTGGGCTTGGGCAGCAGGATGCTGGGGCTGGGAAACGGCTCTCCCGGCGCCACCAGCAGCTCCAACGTGGCGGCCGGGCAAAGGCGTGAGCCACCGGGGCAGCCCAAGTGGCGGGAGGCTCGGGCACGGGAAATGGAGGGTGGGGGGTGGGGGGAGGGGGCATCTATGGCCTCTTCCAGGCGTTTCAGATTTAAATAGCAGCCTGTGGTCTGGAACACACAGAGCCCGGCCGGCGTGGCTCAGCGGCTGAGCGTCGACCTAGGAACCAGGAGGTCAGGGTTCGATTCCCGGTCAGGGCACAGGCCCGGGTTGTGGGCTCCATCCCCAGTGGGGGGCGTGCAGGAGGCAGCCGACCCATGATTCTCTCTCTCTCCCTCTCTTTCCTCTCTGACATCAATGAAAACACATTTTAAATAAATAAACACACACACACACACACACACACACACACACACACACACAGCTGGTCTGGGAGGGATCGGGACCCATCTGAGGACACTCCCATCAGACGACGCCCGGCAGAACCAGAGACCAACCGGCCCTGGGGACCTGCTGTGGGCGCTGCCCCGGCCGCCCGCACCCTGGTCGGCCGTGTGGCTCCGGGGCAGGAAGGTTGGGGTTGGCACAGCAGTTGAAAGAAAAAACTAAAACAAACCTTCACTGCGACCAAAGAAAGCTTACAGGCCCCCGTGTGCAAGGCCCCCGTGTGCAAGGCCTCCGCGTGCAAGGCCTCCACATGCAAAGCCTCTGTGTGCAAGGCTCCGCGTGCAAGGCCCCCGTGTGCAAGGCCTCCACGTGCAAAGCCTCTGTGTGCAAGGCTCCGTGTGCAAGGCCCCCGTGTGCAAGGCTCCACATGCAAAGCCTCTGTGTGCAAGGCTCCGCGTGCAAGGCCCCCGTGTGCAAGGCCTCCACATGCAAAGCCTCTGTGTGCAAGGCTCCGTGTGCAAGGCCCCCGTGTGCAAGGCTCCGTGACTGGAGGTTATTTCTGAGCCTCCCGAGACGCTGAGCAATAGCAGGTGCCCGGCAAACGTCTGCCCCGTTACCCAGAGTGAACCAACCAATGGTGGGTTTTGCCCCAGCTGAGCCGGGGGGCGGGGGGGGGGGGGGCTCGCACACAGACGTTGGAACTGTCCCCAAATGAGGTCCCAAAGGCACAGCACAGTTCAGTCCGACTCCCCGCACCCACCAAGGTTGCTGTCTCGTGGGCTGGCACCTCCCCATCTTTCCGGGGGGCGGGGGGGGGGGGTCCTCACCTCCAGAGGCTCCTATGGTCACCGCCCAGCTGCCCGCCCGCACTGCCCGCCCGGCACTCACCGGCTTGCCCAGCTCGGAGCCCTTCAGGAAGTCGTCCACGGAGGCGCCCCTCCTCCTGAGGTCAGGGGACTCGTAGCCGTCCTCCTCGTCCGAGTTGGCGTACTGCCCGCCCCTGTCCATGAACACGCTCCTTTTCTCTAACTTGAGGAGGAGAGGGCGGGTGAGCGAGGCGCCGGGCGGGCCCCAGGGGGAGGGGGCTCCGGGTCCCACCCTTCCCTTCGCCACCCACAGCCCCTCAGAGCCGCCCCGCGAGGGCCCTGGCTCCTGGGCGGGTTTCTTTGATTTTTTAATACATTTTACGGACTTCAGAGGGGCCCGAGGCGGGCGCCGCCTTACCCTGCTGCTCTCGGCCACCCTCTGCGCGGCCTCCCGGGCCATGGCCTTGGCCACGGAGCTGGACACGGGGGCGCCCTGCGGCTGCGGGAGGATCCGGCTGGGCGAGGGCGAGCGCCGGCCGGGCAGGCCGGGCAGCTCCAGCGTGTGCCCGAGGGTGGGCGCCCGGCCCTGCTCCCAGGCCTCGTCCGCTCGGACGTGGGGCCCCGGGCGGTCGTCTTTGGTTTCGGGGGCTCCGGCACTTGCTAACGGCTGTGGGGTGGGCGCTCTCGGGGGGGCGGGAGGCACCAGGAGGTCAGGGGGGACGGCGGCGACGGCGGAGTCCATGGACTCGCCCTGAGCCGAGAGGGTCCGCACCGTCAGGCCCCTGGCGTCCAGGCCGCGCAGCCGCGCCAGCTCCACGGCCACGCCGTCCGCCGTGGGGGCGGCGACCTCGGCCACCTGCACAGAGAGAGCCACTAACGGGCCGCCCAGCCCCCACCCGCCCCCTGCACCCCGGCATCGGCGGGTCTCGGCAGGGGAGGCCCTTGGGAGTCTGCGGACACCAGCGCCCGCCCCCCCGCCGCCCACTGGACAGAAGGCTTCCGTGTCCAGAACCAACTCAGAGACACACTGAGGGGCGCAGAGGGCCAGGGCGTAAAGTTCATTGTGGCCACAGCTGGGCAGGAGGAGGGCGAGGAGGCCTGGCCGGGGAGCAGAGACAGGGCCACCGGCTGCAGGGACCACGCGCACATGGGAGCTGGAGGCAGCCAGACACTGCGGGCCACTGAGTGGTCAGCCCTGCCCCTCACAGGGACCGGGGCGGAGGGAGGAGGCAGCTGCATGACCCGTGGGCCGGGATGGGGATGGGGAGGAGGAGGGGGAGGGGGAGGGGGAGGGGGAGGGGGAGGGGGAGGGGGGAGGGGGAGGGGAGGGGGAGGAGAGGGGGAGGGGGAGGGGGAGGGGGAGGAGCCTGAGGCCATCTGCTTCCACACCTGCCCTGTGGAGTCAAGGCCTGGCCATGTGTTCATGAGGGATTCCTAGGCCTGTCATCTATCCGGGGGCCCTGATGTTGGGGAACTCAAGGCAGGTGAACTTTTAAAAAATATATTTTTATTGATTTCCGAGAGGAAGGGAGAGGGAGAGAGAGAGAGAGAAACACCAGTGATGAGAGAGAATCATGGACCGGCTGCCTCCTGCACGCCCCCCACTGGGGATGGAGCCCGTAACCGGGGCCTGTGCCCCGACCGGGAATCAAACCGTGACCTCCTGGTTCATAGGTCAATGCTCAACCACGGAGCCACGCCGGCCGGGCAAAACAGGTGGACTTTTAATCCCGGGGGCAGGAGAACCAGGAGGGTGAGCAGTGGGAGGCGGGCAGGGGATTCTGGGAAGGGGTGGGGCAGAAGTGGGGGGGCCTAGTGCTCTGCAGCCCTGGGGTGGCCGTGGGGTGGCCGTGGGGTGGCCGTGGGGTGGCCGTGGGGTGGCGGGTGTGTAATAACTGCTGGTGGCAGCGGAGGGAGGAAGGATGCTCGGCCGTCACCCTCCCCGGAGCAGGTACCCACAGTCCTGGGGTGCCCCCCCATGACTCACCCTCTGCCCCTTTGCGTACACGCCGTAGCCCGTGACGGTGGCCCCGTTGGACAGCCCGGTGGCACTCAGGGCGGGCGGCTTCCAGGAGACCTGGGCGATGGCTGGGGTGGCTCCCGCCTGGACGGTGACGTCTTGGGGGGCAGCCGGGGGACCTGGGGACAGCGCAGAGGCACATGCCGGGCGGGGCTCCCCCGGGAAGGAGGCCGCTCGCTCCAGGGACCCGCCCCGCTATCACGTAAGGAATCACAGAACGCGGTCAGCGTGTCGCCACAGCTCCGTGCGGTGACGGGTCCCAGGTGGGCCCCAGGGAGCCCTGTGTTGTGCCTGAAACTCGTGTGCTGACGTCTGTCAACTCCACTTTAATAAAAATAAACACCCATGAGCCCGGCTGGTGTGGCTCCGTGGTTGAGCATCGACATGCGAACCAGGAGGTCACGGTTCGATTCCCGGTCGGGGCACAGGCCCGGTTGCAGGCTCCATCCCCAGTGGGGGGCGTGCAGGAGGCAGCCGGTCCATGATTCTCTCTCAACATGGATGTTTCTCTCTCTCCCTCTCCCTTCCTCTCTGACATCAATACAAATATATTTTAAACAAACAAACAAACCAACATGCACGAGAAAAAGGAGTGGCCGGGCCGGGCGGGGGGAGGGGAGTGTGAGAGCGGATGGAGGAGGGCGCCCCCGGCCGCCCCGGCGGGAACCAGCGCTGGGTCCTCAGGCTGTGGTTGGACTGAGCTGCTGGGGGTCCCCAGGCCCCCCGTGACTCAGGCCTGGCCAATGGGCACATGACTGCGCCCTGCCTCGCCCCTCCTCCCTCCATGCGTGTGTCTGTGCACGTGTCTGTGCACGTGTGTGCGCACGGTGTGCTTGCGTGTGCGCGCGAGTGTGCATGTGTGTGTGTGTGTATCTCCCTCACACACCAGCCCCTCTGTGGTCCAGGAGCTCACGGTCCTGACCAGCCCCAGGGAGAGTGACGGGGTCACAGGGATCCGCTCAGACGCCACCCCCTCAGGACCTGGGCCCCACTGCTGACACCCTATCTCTCTCACACACACACACGCACAGGCATGCACATACATGCACGCACACATGCACAGACATGCACACGCACACACACCGTGTCTCGCAGGTGACTTAGGGGCTTTCCCAGGATGCTGTGGCTGCATGCAGCTCTCCCTCTGCCCACCTCCCCCGCCCCCACGTCCTGCACGGGTGACCCCCCTGCTCCCCACGGAGCCCCGGGGGCCGCTCACCGGCGGGCAGCGTGCAGAACTCCACAAAGGCCTCCTTCTTCTCCCTCTGCTCCAGGGGCAGCTGCCAGGGCACCTGGTGGGGGCGGGCCAGCACCCGGACCTTGTAGGCGGTGCCGGGCCTGAGGTTGAGCAGCTGGTACCGGTACCGGGCGGCCCGCGCCACGCCCTGCTCCTGCCCGTCCAGGAACACCACGTGGCTGTAGTTGCTGTTGGTGGGCAGCCAGGAGAGCCGCGCGGAGGTGGGCGTGACGTCGTCCGCCCGCAGCTGGGACGGGGCGACCACCACGTCCTTGCCCACCAGCAGCGTGCAGCGCAGCTGGTCCGAGCTGCCCCGGCCGGTCACGCACTGCACGGACACGCGGTGGGTGCCAGCGGCCACGCCCAGCTTCTCGATCAGCGCCTTGGTCCTGCCGGCCGGCGGGAGGCTCAGGCGCGGCTGCTGGTCCACCAGCACCGTGTAGCCGCCCACCGGGCCCCAGCCGGGCGGCAGGGCCGGCGGTTCCCAGCCCACGATCACGCTCTTGGCCAGCTGCTTGATGAGGGTGATCTTGCGGGGGTAAGGCACGAGGTCTTCGCCGAGGTCGTCGATGCTCGCGTCCGGGGTCCCCTCGCCGTCGTCGTCGGGGCCGCCCGGGGCCGGAGGGGAGGGCGGGGGCAGGTCCAGGGGGTCCTCCCCGCCCAGGCCCAGGCCCAGGCCCAGGCCCGTCTGGTTGAGGAGGTTCTGCCCCTGCTCGGTCTCCAGCGCGCTCAGCCTGGCCTCGCTGTCCTGCACCAGGTCCACGAAGTTGGAGGGCACGAGCCCCCGCTGCCCGCCCAGGAGCTCGCCTGCTGGGAGCGGGGGCAGAGTCACCCCCGGAGCTCAGAGCCGCAGGCACGGGGGAGTGACCGGGGCCCAGGGGTCCGCGCAGACGTCACCCCCGTGGGGTGTCCCCCACCCACCAGCCTGCTCTTCCCACGGCGCCTGCCGAAGCCTGAAGAGGGGGCTCCTGAACGGGCCCTGCCCGAGAAGATGCCAACGGGGGGACCCCAGTGCTGGGCAGTGACTCGGAGGGAGGAGGGAGCCCGCGGGGACCAGAGGGTCTCGGCCGCGTGTGGCACATGGTTGCCTGGGAAACCAGGTGAGTATAGTCACACCCACCGGGTGTCGGGGTCAGAGGAGGGACCCCGGGAACCCCGCTCGGCACCGCAGGGGGACTGTCACGCGGGAGGCAGGCGGGGGAGCCTGGCCAGCAGGGTCGTCCGGGGCCGGCCTGCCCGTTCCCCAGGCCCCCGCACCCGTCAGCCCCGCAGGAACCGGCCTCGCACGCCCAGCGACTGCTGCGTGGAACAGACCTTCATAGAAGCCGTCCTCGTCCATGTCCCCGTAGACGTAGAGGTATTTCCCCGCCGTGAGCGGCAGCTCGGCCTCTGGGTTCTCATTGGGGCCGTCGAAGGGGTTGTAGCTACGGGAGAAACGGGGTGGGGGGTGATGGGGGGAGGCTGATGCAGCCCCGGCCTCGCGGACCCTGGGCCGCGCCAGCCCCCTCTCCGCCGGCCTCGGCACTAACAGGTCAGATCCTGGCCGTCGCCAGCTTCCTCCCACAGGCTTGAGACAGAGGGCAAGCCCCGGCCGGTGTGGCGCAGTGGGCAGAGCATCGGCCTGCGGACCGAAGGGTCCCAGGTTTGATTCCGGTCAAGGGCACGCACCTGGGTTGTAGGGTCCTCCCTGGCCGGGCCCTGGTCGGGGCGCGTGCAGGAGGCAACCCATCGATGTGTGTCTCTCACATCGAAGTTTCTCTCTGTCTCTCCCTCTCTCTTCCCCTCTCTCTAAAAATCAATGGGAAAATACCCTCACGTGAGGATTTTTTCTTCAATGGAAGCTTGTATAATTTTATTAACCAATTATTAACCAATATCACCCCAATAAACCCAGTTAAAACGTCTCTGTCTTTAGAGTACTTGCCATCAAAGATAAATACTTTTTCTCTCTCTTTATTGATTAAGGAATTATCCCCCCAATGCCCCCCCACCCCACCCCACTCATGCCCTCACCCCCGGTGTCTGTGTCCACTGGTTAGGCTTACAGGCACGCATACAAGTCCTTTGGTTGATCTCTCCCATTTACCCCCACCCTCCCCTACCTTCCCTCTGAGGTTTTGAGGATTTTTTTTTTAAATAAAAAATAAATAAAATAAAAAACAACAGAAAAGTCGCCTCAGTAGGAAAATACCAGGTGTACCGGTTACTAATGTGGGGTTTTTTCAATAGATGGAGTTACACATATGCTGATGTATATGCGATTTGATATGTATGCTATTTTGTTCTATTAACAACAAGCTTCAAAACTTCATATGTCAAATTTGCTGAAGGTGTTAACATCATAGGTGAACATGCTCCATCTCAGGATACGTGTGGACGCTGGTTTAAACGCTTTAAAAGTGAGGATTTCGGTGGGAAAGACAAAGAACATCCAGGTCAACCGAAAAAGATGGAAGACCGACAATGACAAGCTTTATTGGGTGGAGATGCGTGTCCAACTGAGAAACAACTCGCAGAAAGATTCAACGTTGCTCAGCAAACCATTTCCGACCGTTTACAAGCAATGGGAACCATTTTAAAGGAAGGAAAATGGGTGCCACACCAACTGGACGAAAGGCAAATGGAAAACCGAAAAGTCATCAGTAAAATGTGGCTTCAACGGCACGAAAGGAAGTCTTTTTGGCATCGAGTTGTGACTGGCGATGAGAAGTGGGTTTATTCTGAGAATCCCAAACGCACAAAATCACGGGTTGATCCAGGTCAACCATCAACATCGACTGCAAGGCCACATCGCCTCGGAGAGAAGACAGTGCTCTGTGTTTGGTGGGATCGGGAAGGTGTGGTGTATCAGGCGCTTCTAACACCAGGTGAAACCGTTAATACTGATTGCTACCGACCACAAATAGCCGGTTAATGCCTGATCCGGATTTTTAACCGGTATCCGAGTTTTTAACTGGTTAATAGCTAATCTGCATGCCCATTAAAATGCGGTTTGGAAGTGTGTGATGGTGCGTCATCACGAAGCAAAATTACTTTGCCGTGTCTTCTGTACCATTCTGGTTGTTTTACGATCAGAGCGCGGCTCAAATTGATTATTTGTTGTCGGCAGCGATCAGTATTAACGGTCTCACCTGGTGTTAGAAGCGCCTGATACTCCACACCTTCCCGATCCCACCAAACACAGAGCACTGTCTTCTCTCCGAGGCGATGTGGCCTTGCAGTCGATGTGGATGGCTGACCTGGATCAACCCGCTGAAGCCGCATTTTACTGATGACTTTTCGGTTTTCCGTTTGCCTTTCGTCCAGTTGATGTGACACCCATTTTCCTTCCTTTAAAATGGCTCCCATTGCTTGTAAACGGTCGGAAATGGTTTGCTGAGCAACGTTGAATCTTTCCGCGAGTTGTTTCTCAGTTGGACACGCATCTCCACCCAATAAAGCTTGTCATTGTCGGTCTTCAAACTTTTTCGGTTGACCTGGACGTTCTTTGTCAAATAATCAATTTGAACCACGCTTTGATGGTTAACCCGCACTAGTACCCGGTTGATGGTTAACCCGCACTAGTAACCGGTTGATGGTTAACCCGCATTAGTAACCTGTTGATGGTTAATCCGCACTAGTAACCGGTTGATGGTTAACCCACACCAGAAACCGGTTGATGGTTAACCTGCATTAGTAACCAGTTGATGGTTAACCCGCATTAGTAACCGGTTGATGGTTAACCCGCACTAGTAACCGGTTGATGGTTAACCCGCACCAGTAACCGGTTGATGGTTAACCCGCACTAGTAACCGGTTGATGGTTAACCCGCACTAGTAACCGGTTGATGGTTAACCCGCATTAGTAACCTGTTGATGGTTAATCCGCACTAGTAACCGGTTGATGGTTAACCCACACCAGAAACCGGTTGAAGGTTAACCTGCATTAGTAACCAGTTGATGGTTAACCCGCATTAGTAACCGGTTGATGGTTAACCCGCACTAGTAACCGGTTGATGGTTAACCCGCACCAGTAACCGGTTGATGGTTAACCCGCACTAGTAACCGGTTGATGGTTAACCCGCACTAGTAACCGGTTGATGGTTAACCCGCATTAGTAACCTGTTGATGGTTAATCCGCACTAGTAACCGGTTGATGGTTAACCCGCACCAGAAACCGGTTGAAGGTTAACCTGCATTAGTAACCAGTTGATGGTTAACCCACATTAGTAACCGGTTGATGGTTAACCCGCACTAGTAACCGGTTGATGGTTAACCCACACTAGTAACCGGTTGATGGTTAACCCGCATTAGTAACCTGTTGATGGTTAACCCGCACTAGTAACCGGTTGAAGGTTAATCCGCACTAGTAACCGGTTGATGGTTAACCCGCACCAGAAACCGGTTGAAGGTTAACCTGCATTAGTAACCAGTTGATGGTTAACCCGCATTAGTAACCGGTTGATGGTTAACCCGCACTAGTAACCGGTTGATGGTTAACCCGCACTAGTAACCGGTTGATGGTTAACCCGCATTAGTAACCTGTTGATGGTTAACCCGCATTAGTAACCGGTTGAAGGTTAACCCGCATTAGTAACCCATACACCTGGTAAGCTTGCCATCCCTGTGAGTCGGTGGTGACAGCCGCGCTATTAATTGTAACAAAGGGTGATGGTTCCCGCGATCGTACCCGGAGAAGGCCACGTTTTTATTGGTCGAAATTAACTCTCGGGGTCAAGGCCAAGCAGACGTCTTAGTCCCGACTTTAACGTCCCAGTGAGGAGCGAGGACACGACCAAAGTCGCAAGCCGTGAGGCCGTGGGCGTCGGCCAGGACCCAGGCCCCTGACACCGGCCACGCAGGTGCGGCCTCACAGCCTCCCTGTCCCTCAGATCCCCGTCCACCGAAGCCTCGCCCAACCCTCTCCCGGGGCCGGGAAGGGGCACCCTCCGCTCCCGGCCGGCCCCCACCCCGTCCCGGCCCGCCCCGGCCCGCCTCACCTGTAGCGGGCCACACACAGGTGCACCTTCCCTGAGTACCTCTGCTTGGGGGGGTTGGCGTTCCGTTCATTGTCCATCTGGGGGACACAGGACACTCGGTTAGGACGCTGTGGCTTCCTGCTTCCCGCGGGGGACACACAGGAACCCTTCCACGGCCCCCGGGCCCTACAGCCTCATTGGGGGGTCCCCGGGCCCTGCAGCCTCACGTGGGGGGTCCCGGGCCCTGCAGCCTCATTGGGGAGTCACCGGGAGATGCAGCCTCATTGGGGGGTCCCGGGCCCAGCAGCCTCACGTGGAGGGTCCCGGGAGATGCTGGTGCCCCTAAGGCCATGACGGAGCTCTGTGGGCTCCGGGTCCCCAGGGGCCTCTGTAAAGCACTCCTGTGCCCCCCAAGCCTGGACGTGGGCGAGGGCCTGCCCCACGTGATGTGAGGCACGGGGCGCTCGCTGAGCTGGGCCCTGCGAGGGTCCTTAGAAGACACAGAGAGCCGTGGCCGGTGTGGCCCAGTGGATAGAGCGTCGGCCTGCAGACTGAAGGGTCCCGGGTTCGATTCCGGTCAAGGGCACATGCCAGGGGTCACAGGCTCGATCCCCAGTGCGGGGCGTGCAGGAGGCACTTGAATCAATGATCCTGTCTCATCATTGATTCTCCTCATATTTCTCTCTCTCTCCCTCTCCCTTCCTCTCTGAAACCAATAAAAATACATTTAAAAAGAAGAAGAAGACAAAGGTAGACCATGATCTGTGCCCTCTGCTCTCAAGGTTCCGTCCAGGGAGAGACACACAGGCCCACTTGGCTCAGTGCTTAGGGTGAGACACCCGGGAGGGCTGCATGGAGGAGGTGGCACGGGGCTCTTTCCTCCCAGGTCCCCACTTCTCTGCCGTCTCAGAGTCGGCAGAGCACAAGAACTCTGCCCACGTGTCCCCTGACGGCGGCCACAACCATGGGGGGCGGGGCCAGGCCCAGCATCAGCACCGGGCCGAGGGGTAGGTGTGAGCGTGAGCGTTCGTGGGCACCTCCCCAGGACAGGCTGCGCGCCCACTGCCTCCCTCCTCCTCACACGGGCCCCCTCCCCGGGGCAGGACTCACATCGGACTCAAATCTGCATCTTGAGCTTCCGGATCTGGACAGAAAGGGGGGCTTGGTGGGCAGAGGCTCCGGCGAGTCCCCGGGCAGCGGGAGGGGCCGGATGTAGTCCCCGATCACAGCGCGGCTCCCGAAGGGGCCGTCCTGACCTGGCCACGGACACGGAGACGGCGGACAGAGATGGAGTGACGGGGACACGCACGGCGCCGTCCGCAGCCGCGCCCGCTCCCCGCTGGCTTCGCGAGCCCCCGGGACACGGTTCATCCCATAAATGTCTCCTCTGCACCCGCTGTGCCCAGTGGGGCTGTGGGCACCGGGGCACAGGGCCGTGGACAGCCCCAGCCCCTGCTCCCGGGACCTGGCAGCCCGGTGCTCAATGCCCCGCTGTCAGGCTCGCTGCCTCTATCGGGACCGAGTTCCGGGTGCGGCCCCTGTCACCAGGGGCTGCGGGGGGGGGGGGGGGGCGGGGGGCGATGGCGGGGGGGGGGGGGGTCAGCTAAAGAGAAATGCGGGCCCAGCCAGCCTGGCTCAGTGGATTGAGTGTCAACCTGCGGACTGAACAGTCCCGGGTTCGATTCCCGGTCAGGGCACAGGCCCGGGTTGTGGGCTCCATCCCCAGTGCAGGGCGTGCAGGAGGCTGCCGATCCGTGATTCTCTGTCATCATGGATGTTTCTCTCTCTCTCCTTCTCCCTTCCTCTCTGACATCAATAAAAATATTTTTTAAAAACATATTTTTTTAAAAAAGAGAGAGCCCTAACCGGTGTGGCTCAGTGGATAGAGCGTCGGCCTGCGGACTCGGGTCCCAGGTTCGATTCCGGCCAAGGGCATGTACCTGGGTTGCGGGCACATCCCCAGTGGGGGGATGTGCAGGAGGCGGCTGATCGATGTTTCTCTCTCATCGATGTTTCTGGCTCTCTATCCCTCTCCCTTCCTCTCTGTAAAAAATCAATAAAATATATTTTAAAAAATAGTAATAAATAAAAATAATTAAAAAAAGAGAGAAACGCGTCTGGCAGGTCCCCACCCTGAGTGACAGTGTGGTCCCCGGCCCGGATCCCCTGGCTCAAGCCCTGCTCTGGGCTCCCAGCCATGTGGCCCCGACAGGGCCCGGCTTCCTGTCCGGGCAGCGGGGCTTGGGACAGCACCGAGTCACGTTTGCCGACGACACCTGTCTGGCGCTCGCAGGTCCCGGCAGGCTGGCTGCCCGCCCTCCCAGGCCCCGCTGTGCTCGGCCCACCTGGGGGTCACCGGTCCCTTCTCCACTCGGCCCGGGGTGAGGGGGGGCTCCGGGCGCTCACCTGCCCCGATGGAGGGGGCGAGTCCGTTCATGAACTGCGGGAAGGGCTTGCTGCCGGGGGCCAGGGGGGCATCCAGGGGGACCAGGGAGCCGCCCAGCAGGTCGATGGCGCCCGCGTGCTGCCGGAACTTCTCCAGGTCCCGCGACAGGAGGCTGAACTGCTCGCTCTGGGCCCGGCACTTGTCCTCCAGCTCCCGCACCTTGCACTGCGGGGGGCACGCGAGTCAGCGGGAGGCACGCGAGTCAGCAGGCAGCGGGGCGGGGAGCGTGTGTGCGCGCGTGTCTGTGCCCGGGTGTGCACGCGTGTTGTGCGTGGCTGTGTGTGGCCGGGGCTGCCTCCCACCTCCATCGGCTCAGCCCGGCTGCCGGCCCAGCTCCCTCCCGGGGGACGGGGGACCCACAGGAGCCGCTGCTCAGCGTCCCGGAGGCCGCCCTGGCTCTGTGCGCAGCCGGGCACTTGGGGGTTGAAATTTGGGGCGAGAGAGGGGACAGCCCGGACGGGGGGAGAGCTCAGTCGCTCGCCCACAGTGCACTTTCCTACGGGGCCCCCGCCCTGGTCCTGCAGAACCTCAGGGAACACCACGCTCCCCATGGAAGGGAATTCCAGCCCGGCCGGCGGGCTCAGTGGCTGAGCGTCGACCTGGGAACCAGGAGGACACGGTTCGATTCCCAGTCAGGGCACAGGCCCGGGTTGTGGGCTCCATCCCCAGTGGGGGGCCTGCAGGAGGCAGCCGGTCCATGATTCTCTCTTGTCATTGATGTTTCTCTCTCTCTCCCTCTCCTTTCCTCTCTGAAGTCAATAAAAATATAAAAAAAACAAAACAAAACAAAAAAAAAACACCGGAAAACAGCCAGAGCCCAGAGGTGTTTCTCCTCTGACTCCGGCGTCACGAACGCTGAAGGAGCCAGCCCGGGACCGGTGGCCAAGGCCACACACCCTGGAGGTGGAGGACCGGACTCAGGTCTCTGACCCCCCGACTCTGAGCCGGACGCCCTCCTCGCTCCGGCCCCTGGAGACCAGCCCGGTCCCCTCGTGGGCCTCCGTTTCCTGGCCCACAATCGGGTGCAGCGTGCCCTGCAGAACTCCAGGGTAAACGGTGGCACAGACCTCGCCACCCGGGGCCCTGCCCTCCTCGGCGGCCTGGACGCCTGTCGGTCCTCAGCACAGAGTGGTCGCAGCGCGAGGCCGTGCCGGCTCACCAGGCCCCCTGCTCCGCGCCGTCAGCCAGACACACGGGCTCCCTCCACGCGGATTCTGGGTGATCCCCAGGCCAGGAGCCCCTCCAGGGCCCGGCTCTCACCTCAGTCATCACATCCCCAGAGCCCCCACGTGCACCCTCTGGGCGGCCCTGACCCCGGGGCCTCTGGGCTGCCCTGGGGGATCACCCTGCACCTAATGGAGCAGCCCTGGGGGGGGGGGGGGGGCTGCCTCAGAGCCTGTGCCCGGTCGGTGTGGCTCAGCGGTTGAGCATCGACCTAGGAACCAGGAGGTCACGGTTCGATTCCCGGTCAGGGCACAGGCCCAGGTTGTGGGCTTGATCCCCAGTGGAGGGTGTGCAGGAGGCAGCCGATCCGTGATTCTCTCTCATCAGTGATGTTTCTCTCTCCCTCTCCTTTCCTCTCTGAAGTCCATGAAAATATATATATTTTTAAAGGCACATAAATATCCAAACGGCCCTTGGCAGGAACAAGGCCCCCGCCCGGCCCTGAGGACACAGATGCACAAGCTCCATCTGCTCGCTCCCGGGCTCTCGCGTGGACAGCCCCGTGGCACCGAGTGTCACGCCTGCGTGGCCTCACACAGACCCCGGATCCAGGTGTGGCAGAGACCCCGCCATGGCCCCCCCAGCCTCGCCTCCCGCTCTGCCCACGCCCAGCCCGTCCCACTCGGGCCAATGCCCTGAGGCCTGGAAGCGCAGGCAGGAGCCCCCATGCCGTCTGTCCCCCCACGGACACGGCCCCCACGACACACACACACACAGACACAGACACGGACACGGGCACGGGCACGGACACGGACACGGACACAGACACAGATACGGACATAGACACGGACACGCAGGTGCGACGTTCAGGCCAGGTCGGACTCCGATGCCCAACCCCTGACCCCCGACCCCCGGGCTCTGGGTGGCGTGGTGCCCGAGCCCACACCTCCTCCTCCTGGGTCATCGGCGTTCAGGGGGCCTGAACGTCACAGCCTCAGCAGGAAACCAGCTCGCAGCCGCCCAACCCTCAGAGGCCAGAACGGGGCGCCTGGCCCCATGAACATCTGGCCCCTTGGAGGCTCCGGGCAGCTCCTCAGCCCCCAGCCCGGCCCCCCGAGCCCCACGCCCTCGGCCGCCCCAGGAGCTGCCCGTGGGGGAGGAGGGTTGAGCGGCCGGAGCAGGCGGCTCCATGCGCGGAGGGTCCCCGGCTGCGGGCGGGAGGCCCTGCAGTACCTGCATGCTCTCCAAGGTGTTCTGGCCGAAGCAACGAGACACAAGCACAGAAACGCGTGTGAGTACAGGCACGGCTCCCGGCCCAGCGCACGCCTCCCCCAAGCGCATCACGGCCGCCAGCACACGCCACGGCAGGCATGCAGGCCACCAGCCGGGACCCGGCCCCGCGGGACCCTCACGGCGGCGGCGGCGTCTCGAAGGCCATCAGGACAACATGGGCCGTCCAGGCAACGCGCTGCGGGCGACTGGAAGCAAAGCAGCTACGCTTGCAGCCAGGAGCCCATGCGAATTACAGCGCAGTGGGCGGCCCTGGCCCGTGTGGCTCAGTGGATAGGGCGCTGGCCCTCAGACGGAAGGGTCCCGGGTTCGATTCCCGGTCAGGGGCACGGACCTCGGCTGCAGGCTCGATCCCCAGCCCCGGCCCCGGTCAGGGCGAGGGTAGGAGGCGACCCACCAATGTGTCTCCCTCCCACCAATGTTTCTCTGTGTCTCTCCCTCTCTCTTCTACTCTCTCCAAAAATCCATGGGAAAGTATCCTCGGGTGAGGATTGAAATAAAATTAAAAATGCACTGGGCACGATTCTCGGACGGCGGGAGGTCCACCGCCCTTCCCCTCGGGACTCGGCTCCTTGCCGCGGCCTGAGCCTTCGTGGAGAGTCGGGAGCAGCTGCAGCCACTTTGCCACCACGAGGGGCTCCCCACGGAACCCAAAACTCCCGCCCTGCCAGGGCCATCCTCCTAGCTTCCCGCCCAGGGAGCCCGCAGGGGGAGATGCCCGCAGGGCGAGATGCCAACAGAGGGAGACGGCCACAGCTGAGACCCCCGCCCTGATGCGGGCTGTGTGGCCGAGGGAAAATTGCTTAACCTCTCTGTGCATTCACTTCCTCACACACAGGGGGCTCAAGACACCACCTGTGGTGCAGGCTGCCTGCGCTGGTGAGAGGGGAGGGGTGTGGGGTGTGCACAGCCCTGGTGACGGGACCCCAGGCCCCTGGACAGGACCCCAGGCCCCGGCAAACCTGAGCGACTGTTCCCACCCGACCCGGCCTGGCCGCCGCCGCCCCTACCTCTAGCAGCTGCACGGCGCCTTCATGCTCCTTCTTCGCTTCAACCTGAGCCTTGTTGGTGATAAAAAGAGACAAGTGAAGGTTAAGGGGGGGGGGGTCTAAGAGAACGGGGGGCGTCCAGGTGAGCTGGGAGTGAGCCCCGGCTTCTGTCCCCCTAAGAGCCCGGAATTCCGAGCGTCAGGATCAGCTCTCATTTTTCTCCCCCTCCCCACCCCTCCGGGCAAGATGGGGTGGATCCCGCTGCGTCCGACCCTGTGAACACTGGGGGGCGCACCCTGATCTGAGGGGGGGGGGCGTGAGGGGGCGGCTCTGATTCTGCCCCTGAAACCAATGTGCCCTTCGAGGGACAACTGGATGAAGATGTGGTAACAGCCCCGGCCGGTGTGGCTCAGTGGGTAGAGCACCAGCCTGCGGACTGAAAGGTCCCGGGTTCGATTCCCGGTCAAGGGCACAGGCCCGGGTCGTGGGCTCGATCCCCAGTTGGGGGCGTGCGGGAGGCGGCCGAGCCATGACTCTCTCTCATCGTGGATGTTTCTCTCTCTCCCTCTCCCGTCCTCTCTCTAAAAGTCAATACGGAAAAATAAAAAATAAAATAAAAAATCTCCGTCTGAAGGAGGACTTTCTCTCGGGGCCTGGAGGACAGACTGTCCGCTCCCCCCTGGCCAGCGTCCACAGGCGGGAGGCGGGAGGCGGGCGCCTGGCTTCCCGCGCCTCCCCTCTCCCTCCCATCAAATGAGGCTCTAAACGCCGCCG